CGCCGAACGTCTTCGACGCTTCTTCTTCTTCCTCTTCCGCGTGTTAGTCTTGTTCTTCTTCTTCCATTTGCGTCTCAATCTTCTTTTTCTTTTTAGTCGCCTTCTTCGTCTTCTTCATCTTCTTCGCTGTCGCACACACACACACACACTTACAAACACACACACACACACACACACACACACACACAGAGAGATGGCGGACGAAAGAAGCGCGGCGGTCGCAGGAACGACTGCGCCTTTGCCGTCTGCGTCTCCAGCGGTAGCAGTTGGCGAAGGGGGGCCATCTGACACTCCGCAGGCCATTAGTTCACCTCTTCCCCCACCACCTTCGTCATCGTCTTCATCACCGGCGATTGGCGAGGGGAGGCCAGCTGCGGAGGAGGGGCAATCCACGACGGACATGTACTCGCATGGAGAAGGCGGATGACGCCACCTTCCGCAAGCGAGGTTCCAACGAAATGGAGGTTGGGGGGGCTATGCTTCGCACGGTCCGTACGGGTGGGCGGCCATAGCCGCGACCTACGGAAATGTTCACGACCGGCCATACCCTCCTCCCCCCAACGGACACCTTTACTCGCCACCGACGAGCGATGACAAAGGGGGAGGTGGTGCCGATGACACAGGGGAGGTTGGCGGCCATGGCGGCGATGAGGGAGGAGGGGATGGTGGCGTCGGAGACGGTTTTTATTAGTCGCTTTCAGTTTTGTCCGTTTAGGGTCATATTTTCTTTTTTTTGTTCTTTCTTCGTTCGTCTGTTTCATCAGTACGCTATGACTATATAGCGCGCAGGGTGGGTGAATAAGGTGTCCATACCGTAGTCGGCATTTCGGTCCGGACAGAGACGGCAGCCATTGCTGCCACGTGACTTTCACATTCGCCCCGTTGGGTTTTCATAATTGTTACTCTGTTTACTTTCTTTGTGATCCAATGAATGGTAGTGTGAGTTCCTTTTCATAATGGTTATGTCGACGGATTTTTTTTTTTTTTTTTTTTTTTTTTTTTTTTTTTTCTCGTTGGTTTCTTTGTTTGTTTGTTTTTGTGTTTCTTTGTTGTTGTTTTTGTTTTTTTTTAATATTTTTTTCTCTTCGTTTCAGTGCTTGCACGTCACTCCTATTGAAAGACGGGGATTGGGGGGGAGCCATCCCCGTCTTCCTCTCATCCATGTGCCTGGCATTTTTTTTGTTTTGCTTCCTGTCCGCCTTTGTGTTCCGATACACAGCGCGGCGATACACAAATGAAAAAAAAGAAAAAAAGAAAAACAGAGAAACTAAGAAAATAAGAAAATAACTGGCCCCGGTATAAAAAAGTGCTGATCGGTGGGATTGGTTATTTGCTTTGCGTCAATCGGATTATCTGTGGGATGTGTCATTTCCTTTGTCTGACTGATAGGCTTTCTTTCCCTGTCAGGTTTGGTTTCCTCCTCCTTTTCTTTACCTCTTTGCCTTTTCGTTGCGTGCAAGTGGGTCCTTGTGACACACAGGGATGGGGCCAGCCAGCGCTCAACCTGTCATCCACGTGGCTGGCCTTGTACGTAAGAGGTAACGAACAGGTGGGGTTTTCCTTCCCTGCTTTTTTTCGTTTTCTTGTTTTGTCTTTTTCCGCCTTTGCGCTCCGATTTACAGTGTGCCTATATATCGTCAAATAGAACTGCCCGGTAAACCGTAGGCAGAGAGGGAGAAGAGGACAACAAACGAGGGGCTGTGACAAACTTGTTATATATATATATATATATATATATATCGTCACAAACAGAACTGCCCGGTAAAACCGTAGGCAGAGAGAGAGAAGAGGACAACAAACGAGGGGCTGTGACAAACTGTTTCGTCGGAGTTTATATATATATATATATATATATCGTCATATATATATATATATACTCATCCTCACCGCGGACATCTTGTCTGCCGGGGCGTTTCCTCCCCCTGGCCTTTTCCCACTCTTCCCCTTTTTCTGTCATCACAGGTGCCCAACGGGGAGACTGTTGCAAGTGGGATTCCAAGGTTTTGGGAGGGGTCCAGGTTTCTGGTGGTTTAGTGTCCTATCGTGGTTCTCCCTGGCCGTCCCATGTCCAGCCCACCACCCCGCCTTGTCCTGGCTCATCGATGAAGACCCATCCTTCATGGCCCGGGTCAACTGTCCGCCACCGAGTGTCTACGAAAGGATCTTGTTGCAAGTGCCCTGTGGGTTTGGCTGCTCGGGAGCTCGGGAGGGGTGACGGGCACACACCGTGCTTGTGTACAAATGCCCATAGGCCTGGCATTTAAAGCACCAGGGCCTTAGCTTGTGGGCAGTGTGAATACGATACATCTTCCCCCCTATGCAGAATGGGATTATATCAGTAAAGATCTGCCCCTCGGCTAGCCTTCTGGCTAGCATGAGGTAGTCGTCTCTTCGTGGAACACGCGGTGGGAGGGGGTCGATGAAGTTGACAACATCGAACTTTTATGCAAAATCCTGTATGAACGCAGCTTGGATCTTGATCGGAATGTGCCTAAACTCCACCCAGAAGTATTCTCTCATCAGTTGCTCCCTCCTCTCCTCCGGCGGCTGTTGTTTCGGGGGGGGCCAAGGTCAAATCCGGACCTCCAAGCCTCCGCAGCGGATCGATCTCCATCCGTCTATTGTTTCTTATCTGTGTCATACATGCAGATGACCGTAATAACGGATGATGAGATTGGCTGTATTAGAAAGAACTCGTGAGCGCCTTCAAGAGATCCCTTGAAGGCGCCCAGACGTTCTCTAATCCAACCAACCTTATCACTCGTAGATTTGAAAGCTGTGTCATCATGAAATGCCCAGTTACTAGCGTGGGGTGTAAACAGCTCATCCCGCGTTCTCACTGTTTCACCGGGGAGGGCTTTAACTACGGTGGATCGTCCACCTTGGTGTAGGATTCTTTTTTTCGAGGCCGAGAGGAGCTGGGTCAGAAAGAATGCTCCCACAGTCGTTACATTTTCAACGGTATTTTCCATTCTTCCTTTTGTCCCCCTTCTTCTCCTTCTTTCGTTCGTTGTATTGATATTGCTTCATCTGAAAAGGGTTTTTTGACTCTTTCTGCCCATGATTTGGGAGCGGTCTCGGAAGCTCCCTGCGCCCCCACTCGGCCGGCCTGGCTCCTTGACTCACCGCTTCCCACCTGCCTGTTGCAATACAAACGACTTTTGGCGAGGGTCACATTGGAATTCTCCACAGAATCGAAGATAAAAAGAAAAATAACAGAATCACACCTTTAAACCCCTTTAGCCCCTTTAAAACCAATTTATACCCCTCCCCCCCCTCTTGAAAGCCAACTCACAAAAAAGAAATGAGCCTGGATTTGGGGTTCTCTAAGAGAGCCTAAAAAAAAAAAAAAACGAAAAAAAGTTCTTTTTTTTGGCTTTTTTTGCATGTCCGGGTACCCCGGGCGTCGCGCCTGGTTGCCCGCCCGGACAGGACCGGACAGGCGTGAGAATCTTCCTATCAAAAAACAGAAAAAAAAAAAGAAACCACCCAACCACTTAAAGGAGTCACGTAGGCCTCACTCCTTACAGTGGTTGAGTGGTTTCTTTTTTTTTCTTTTACTTCTTTTTACCCCTCAAAAGACCCCACCCAACCATCCTCTTGACAATTTCCTTGGCGCACCCCTGCCCCCTCTGTCCTACCCTCGTGTTAACCACCCAAGACCATCACCCATCACCATCCCTGGCACGGTGACCAGACAGCTGCAGCAAGCGCAGGCTGAGCAGGAACCACTGCTCAACCCTGGTTGAAGCAGAGTCTGGCACAAACACGTTGTACGGGTACTTCGTGAGATAGATATGAATACTGCAGACCTTCATGAGGAGGTCCCCGCAGTGTCCCCGAAACTAGACCCGAGTGCACCTAGTAAATTCTTTAGCATGCACTTTTCACCAGTAGTATAGTATCTAATGGCCTGACCCTGACCCAGGTCTAACCTGTGACATGCCAGGGACAAACCGAAGACATCCCATCTTGGTTTAGTAGTACTTAGTACCCTACCGAGAGCTAGTTCGTCGTCAGCCTAAGTTAAGGAGGAGGAAATAGAGTATAAGAAAGACTCCTTGCTAGACTGGTAAGGAGGAGGAAATAGAGTATAAGAAAGACTCCTGGCTAGACTGGTAATTGGTTGTTAAGAGTCCTGGACTGGAATTCAAGGTACTTGTCCAGCCCACGAGTTCGATCCGGTTGCTGCCAACCGCCACGACATATCAAAGTGCAAAATTGTCGCCAGGCTGAATGGCAGTTTCTTCAATCGTGCTATGTCACCGAGGTAGAAACCCCAGGACACTCCTCAGCCACCATTTCTGTATATCCTGTGCGATCCCGAAACCCTCCAAGGGTCACACACTCGTGGGTATCTCGTAATGCGTCATCATAAAAAAACAAGCGGTAAAGTTTCCCCTGTTCCATTGTTATGGTATCGCCTACGCGCCCTCCATATATATATACTGATTTGCACATCCCACAACAGGCTAGATAAGGACAGGGGGGGTTCAAAATGCAAAGCAGGATTACTTACGGGCATCGCTCCACTACTCGACATCCTACATGCGTTTGGACGCTGTCTGGAACAGGCGCATTCGGACAAGTCCAACGTTTTGCATGTATGAGGATGGTTGTGAGGTCCAGACGCATAAGAGTACTGCGTAGTGGAATGCCGCCCTATGTTGTGGTATCGCACTACATTTCACACATATTACATACCCAGTGTTTACCCACGCTGTCCGCGTTTCCTCATTTTCACTCTAAGTTTATTACAAGTGAGACATATTGCCTTTTTTTTCCAGTGAGACATAGGGCCTTGTGGCACCACTCACCAAATGTGCAAAAGAACAAACAAACAAACAAACAAAAAGGTCGCGTGACGCATGCATCATTGTCCGTGACAAAAAAGACAACAACAAAAAAAAGACTTGTTGGTGACACAAGAGATATGAAAGATGAAGCGGAAAAGGCTACTAAAAGCAAAACAATAAAACACACATTATTTGCCCAAACACGAAGTGTTGACATGTGTACGATCCGTAGATCAAGAAAAAAAAGTGAAACCCTTTTCAAAAATTGCAGATTTGACGCAGAAGGAACTTCGCCTCAGAAAGAGGAACAATAACAAGCCTCCTTCTGAAGGTGTGCTGTTTACCATATATATCTGTGGTGTTAAAATGGGAAACCCTTTTCAAAACTTTGCAGATTTGACGCACAAGGAACTTCACCTCAGAAAAAGGAACAACAACAAGACTGCTTCTGAAGGTCTCGGTGTTTGCTGTTTTCCATTTTTTGTGGTGTTCCGCGCAGGTTGTTCAATCTGAAAAAATCAGAAATGAGAGGGGCAAAACTTCCAGAAGTCGCGAAGAACAAAATATTCTACGATCACCCACTAAACAAACACGTCCCAGGTTCCCACTCGTGCCCTCACGGGAGACGGGGAAGTACGGGGAGTGGCATCCCGAACTGAACCTATCCATCTTCTCTGTGGCCTGCAGCAACATACAGGGAAACTGCAAGGGTGTAGAGCAACACCCAGCTCCCTTCAGCAGCAGCCCGCCAGCTGGCAGAACAACAACAGGTACTCCGAACCAGGTGGTCCGGACCTGGTTCTGAGCAGCCATCACCTGGTACTCACGACCAGTCAGTCAGCCTGCAGAACAAGACCAAGGAATACAAAGGGCTCGGGACCGCGAATGCCTGGCATGCAGAAAGACACTAGCTCTTGGCGGCAACCCACCACCCACAGAATAACACCAATGGGCACCCAGCCACTCACAGATTAGCAAACCCTCAGCAGATACCAACCAGCCTGCAAAATGAAACCCAGCACTTAGCCATCCACCAGCCTAAAGAACGCCACCAGGCCATCCGGGAGCCCCTGGGCTGCAGAGAGACAGTGAGTAGACCCGAAGCCCAGCCTCACCGAGAACTGGACAGTGAAAGGCATCAGAAGCCACAGAATAAAAAACCGAAACAGATCAATCCCTGTCTGGGTGCTACTGCTCCCTGATGACTCTGTCAGCTCACTACTTCGCTTTCCCTAGCTAACACTTTCCTGTTCAGCTGATACTTTTCTATTCAGAGATTTACTGCATACAAGGGAGCGGGAGCATTAAGCTTTCTTTGTTGGTTTCAAGGGTAGCATGATGTAGCATACAAGTGGACTTGAGCCAGAGGCCTTTACAGCCTAGACATAATAAAAAAGTAACGTAGAAGAACATGAGAAATTGGGCTCTGTAGGGCCAGTGCATTTGCCTGCTCACGAACCGAACACAAGAATATAAGCCAAATGTTGGAAAAGATCTTATTACTTATCTATGTAGTGTAATCCTAGACACAGAGAGACTCGTTCCAGTGTTTCCTCCATGCAATGGCCCCTCCACTCCTTATGGAAAAGCAGCGAGACAAAAAAAAAAAAAATGCAAGTCGACCTCTCTCTCTCTCTCTCTCTCTCTCTCTCTCTCTCTCTCTCTCTCTCTCTCTCTCTCGCTCTCTCTCTCTCTCTCTCTCTTTTCCCCCTAGAACACACTCTCTTAGGCTGGAGGATACAAAAAAGCAGCAATCACCTGCTGGTTGCAGGTTGTACAGGTGGGAGAGTGCAGAGAATGGACACGAATTACGCGGCTGGCAATGCAGAATGAAGCTGCTTGTCTTCTTTTCTATCATCGTAGTTTCTTGATCTCCCTTTTTACATCACCTCCCCTGGGGAGGAGATTGTTATGATCGCAGCCGACACTGACTTCAATATTGCATTACTCCAGCGCACGCTTGAGGTGATGTACGGGACTCCACCGCTGTCCATGCACATAGAGAATGTTGGCAGACCGTCGACACCTCCGTCAGAGCTGTTCTCCCCTCCGTCAGAGCTGCATGGTTTCTGATTTCTTGTAAGCGACCAAGTGCGGCTTTAGACAGAGGTCAGTGAGAGAGGCACGCATCCGTGAGCGAAAAAACTCCAAACGGTGTGAACTGTCTTCGTGAGTTCTTTAATCATGATCATGACCCATTTCATGTCGTTCGGGCCTGGCAAGGCGGAAGGGTGGCCCATCCAGTATTTGGAAAGGCATGAGACCCAGCGCCCTCGATGTCTTGATCTCTCGAACTATCTTCCGTTGAACCTTTGCGCGCAATTTGAACTGTCTCGGTTCCAAGGAGATTTGTAGAGAAAATGCACAGAACACAGGGAGAACACAACGAGCAACAGAGAGGATACCAGAGGGGAGGAGGCAGCAGAGGCAGCAAGAACAGGAGGCAGATACGAAGGAGACAAAGAGTAGGTATTGCAATCAGACTCGTTTTCAAACACACTTTTCATGCATGTAAACAGCAACGCAGCATACTGGCGACATGCGTCCACTCAAAACTCAGAGATATGGCTTTCAGATACGAGTTCACTCTCAATTGGCTATGGCAACTTCAGGGCCCAAACATCTCACTGTTCACATACACTGGATCACCCTGGATATCCCACACGCATCACTCTAACACTCGARCACACACACACACTCACTACTAACTACAGCTATGGCAGCTGTCGCTGCATCTACCCTATCGCTATGCTAACTCCCTCTCTCTAGCCCACTGCGTCCTCCGGGCTCAT